TGCAATTTTACACAACGTCCTGCAACCAACCTCAACAACGTGGTTTGAACAGGGCAGATAGAAATCTATTGTCTGCGTCCCTGGTGTTGAGTCTGTGCTGTTCTGTGCAGATCAATAAAGCTCAGCTGGACCCCAACGAGGCGAGTCCTGGAGCTCCGATATGGAGTAAACTTAATGAACTGTCGCCAGGGGGCAGATCATCCAATATACACTCTATTGCCAAAAGTATTGGGACGCCCCTCCAAATCTCTGGATTCAGGTGTTCTGTGACATTTCCTGGCTACTAAATATTCCGCGGTCACCTGTTACTGGTATTATAACAAAGTGGAAGATCCATATACAAGTCCCATCCACAGGCCCCACCCTTTTACCAGCCCCACACATCCTCGTGTTGCAGAAATTATTTCCCCACATTATTTAAAATATCAGCTCTCTTCACTGAAAGGTGAATTTACGGGGACGTGATTGGTCAGTTTCAACATCTAGACCATTAGAGACCAATTTGGAAAGTGAGCTCAATGGGAGATTTTTGACCCAGATTCTTCAGTTCCCCGGTCACTTCTCCTACTAATTCTCCTGCAGCTAACCCCGGATAATTGGCAGAACTGCAGAATCTGGGTCAAAATAGCCGAACCAGAAAAAAAATCTCCCATTTAGCTCGATTTCTAAATTGGTCTCTAATGGTCTTGATGTTGGAACTGTCCAATCACGTCCCCAGCATGTCCCCTTTCAGTGATGAGAGCTGCAAGTGTTTTAGTAAGTAAAAAAAAAAATCTAGAAAAATAAACTTACGACTAATGTCACTTAGTTCTCACAAACACTGAGAGTGGAATTTATCAAAACTGGAGCAGACAGAATGTGGAGCAGATGTCCACGACAACCAATCAGCATCCACCTTTCATTTTCAAATCTTAACCAAACAAACGGAAGCAAGCAAGCAAACGGAAGTGAGAAGCTGATTGGTTGCCATGGGCAACTGCTCCACATTTTGTCTGCACCAGTTTTGATAAATCCCCCTCGCGGTATGCTTTGGTCCTGTGTCAAAGGGGGTATTCAAATCACAGGACCGGTTGCGGGTCGCTATAAGTTATTTTATTGTTTGATTTTATTTATTGTTTGAATGCAAAAATGAGACAGAGATCTCCGTCAGTTGTAAAGCTACTAAATGGGACAGTTGTCTGAATGGGCCAGGCATGGAGGAGGGGCGTCCCTTAAATGGGACAGGAAGAGAAACAGTAACATAAATCAAATTAGTCAGAGTGGAGTTGGGTGGGTGCATACTGTAAGTGGTCACCGCATGACCATAACCAATGCACAACAGACCGCATGACCATAACCAATGCACAACAGACCGCATAACCATAACCAATGCACAACAGACCACATAACCATAACCAATGCACAACAGACTGCATGACCATAACCAATGCACAACAGACTGCATGACCATAACCAATGCACAACAGACTGCATGACCAGAACCATTGCACAGCAGATCTCAGGCCAGAACCAACGCACAGCAGACCTTAGACTAGAACAACACACGGCAGACCTCAGTAACGCACAGTGTTCAGAGGTCAGTAGTAATGTACAGAGTGTAGAGATCAGTAGTAAGTAATGTACAGAGTGCAGAGGTCAGTAGTGATGCACAATGTCCAGAGGTCAGTGGTAATGCACAGAGTGCAGAGGTCAGTAGTAATGCACAGAGTGCAGAGGTCAGTAGTAATGTACAGAGTGTAGAGATCAGTAGTAAGTAATGTACAATGTTCACAGGTCAGTAGTAATGTACAGAGTGCAGAGGTCAGTAGTGATGCACAATGTCCAGATGTCAGTGGTAATGCACAGAGTGCAGAGGTCAGAAGTAATGCACAGAGCGCAGAGGTCAGTAGTAAGTAATGTACAATGTTCACAGGTCAGTAGTAATGTACAGAGTGCAGAGGTCAGAAGTAATGCACAGAGCGCAGAGGTCAGTAGTAAGTAATGTACAATGTTCACAGGTCAGTAGTAATGTACAGAGTGCAGAGGTCAGAAGTAATGCACAGAGCGCAGAGGTCAGTAGTAAGTAATGTACAATGTTCACAGGTCAGTAGTAATGTACAGAGTGCAGAGGTCAGAAGTAATGCACAGAGCGCAGAGGTCAGTAGTAAGTAATGTACAATGTTCACAGGTCAGTAGTAATGTACAGAGTGCAGAGGTCAGAAGTAATGCACAGAGCGCAGAGGTCAGTAGTAAGTAATGTACAATGTTCACAGGTCAGTAGTAATGTACAGAGTGCAGAGGTCAGAAGTAATGCACAGAGCGCAGAGGTCAGTAGTAAGTAATGTACAATGTTCACAGGTCAGTAGTAATGTACAGAGTGCAGAGGTCAGAAGTAATGCACAGAGCGCAGAGGTCAGTAGTAATGTACAGAGTGCAGAGGTCAGTAGTGATGCACAGAGTGTAGAGATCAGTAGTAACGCACAGAGCGCAGAGGTCAGTAGTAATGCACACACTGCAGAGGTCAGTAGTGATGCACAGAGTGTAGAGTTCAGTAGTAACACACAGAGTGCAGAGGTCAGTAGTAACACACAGAGTGCAGAGGTCAGTTGTAAGTAGCACACAGACTACAGACTTTACTGTTTTCCAAAAGTGTTCAGAGGTCAGTAGTAATGCACAGAGTGCAGAGGTCAGTAGTAATGCAGAGTTCAGAGGTCAGTAGTAATGCACAGAGTGCAGAGGTCAGTAGTAACGCACAGAGTGCAGAGGTCAGTTGTAATTAGAGCACAGAATACAGACTTTACTGTTTTCCCTGACTTGGATACATGTCAGTTGTGGAAAATGAAGTGTCCGCATTGTGTGGAGCAGACGTTACTCCTCTTTGGTAGTAGGAGACCCTCAGTGTGCTGTGCAGAACTCAGGGATCCCCAACTGGCGTGGAGATGGTGCACTGGGGCTGTCCAAAGGTGTCCCCAGCCAGGCCCCCCAGTAATCACATATAGGTGGCACGTGGAAAGTGGGCTGGGAGTGTACAGTGCACCGTGCATGCAAAAAACAAAAAACAATTGCAAGTAGCGAGCAGATGGAGTGTTTTGGCACAGTAGACATACACAGTCCCTTCTGCTAGAAGACTACCTCCTAACACATTTCATGTCACTGTAATGCTGGATTCTCACTCTGTTTCCAGTACTGATGGAATCCATGACTCATGGTCCACCTACTGACCAGGATTAGTGTAAAGTGTACATATATTGGTGCCCCTCGTCCCTATACATCAGTGTGCTAAGCTCCTGTCACTGACAGGCAGCCATGGAACTCCCCATTTCCAGCCCTCAGCCAGAACCAGGGACATAACACAGGGCATGAGGAGGACAGCATGACAGAACATGACAAGTTGGCAGCCACCATGGGCCCCCTCATGGCCGCGGGCCCTCGGGCAGTGCCCAACTGCCCGAACGGTCAGCCCAAGATAGAGAGAGATAGATAGATAGATAGATAGATAAAGAGAGAGAGAGATAGATAAAGAGAGAGAGAGAGAGAGATAGACAGGCCCCAGTAAGAGGCAGAATGCATCAGGATCCATCTCTTCCCAAACACGCCAGCACAGCATAATATGTAACCGCACATCGTCGCTTCAGAAAATCTGAAAAACAGCTTTATTGTTCCAGCACAAAGGAGGTCACTTCTCACTGACGCATTTCACCCCCCTAGTGACACTTAATCAAAGAGCCAGGTTAAGTCCCAGTAGGGGGGTGGAACGCATCAGTGATGCTGTGCGGAATGTCCTCCTTTGTGCTGCAACAAATAAAGTTGGTTTAAAGCTTTTCGGATGTTGCGCTTTTCAGCTTGCTATTGAACAGAGTAGAACATCCCCTCGTCACCGTCGAAAAGAATAAGCCTCAAACAGAATATTTTGGTTAAATAACATTTATTTGAATATTTATGTTGTGGGAAAAGGAGGAGGGGGAGGGGAATTGAGGGCGGTGATAAGGAGAGAGGGGGAGAGGGGGATTCATCCTATTTCCCCTTGCCACACTCACCCCTCCCCCTCCCTGGGGGTGTAGGGTAGCAGAAGCCAACGCCGCCCTTAATGTTACTTCCCTCCTAAGTGGCAAGAGAGGGGGGGGATCGAATCTGCCCCTTGTTTGCGCCTGCACTGCCCCCTCCAAAGTCACACACAGCCAGCTCACACACGACCTCTCTGGGCCAGCTCCCCTCTGTTATCCCTGCTCCTTCCGGCCATTCTGCCTCCTGCAAGGCATGCCGGCCGATTACCACTGTCAAAGTGGGAGAACGGGTAAAGGGGGGGGCTGCAGAGTCATTTCGGCCCGCTTCTTTACACTACGTCCCTCCAGAGTAGTGGAAGAAGGAGGGGCCCCCGCTCTGCTAACCCCATAGGACATTTAAAAAAATAAGCTTTGGAGCAGAGTCTTCTGGGAAACAAATATGGCAGCAGAGGTCATGTGACTTTCACTGGTACCCCCTGTCTATAAGAAGAGGAGACACATGGGCATACAGAGAAGGGGGAAGGGGGGATACAGATGCTTTATATTTATATATACAGTATATATCTTTTTTTTTTGTCCTGTTTTATCTTGTTTTTTTACACACATACATACTGTACACACGCACACAGACCATCCTCCTCCGTTATATCCTCAACTGCCCATCTTGCTGAACTGACACTGTTTCTACGGGGGCTGGTGGATAGAGACCAGTTCTGGGAAGAAATTGCCCCTCTCTTCCCCCTCGGGGGGTTATAAACACACAGCTTCAGGGAAAACAAGGGGAACAAAAAAATGTAAACACGGACAAATTAAATATTATATATATGTATGTGTGTGTGTGTGTGTGTGTGTGTGTATAAGTTAGGGGGGTCCTTCAGTCATTGGATATTTACAAGGGAGAGTAAGGAGGGAGAGAGCTTTTGCACAATAAATGGGGGCACTTCCCCACTTCCCTACGTTAGAAAGAGGAGGGGGGAGGCAGGAGGGGTGGGGAAGGTTTATGTAGAAATGTTTTTGTTGTCTGGTTCCAGCTGGGGTAGATGACAGATCCGGCGAAGGGGGAGAAAAAGAGACAGAGAGACGGGGAGAGAGTGTGACTCTGTCCTTAGGTGCTGAAATAAACTGCGGGGGACAAAAGCAGAAAAAGTTGGGATATAGAGGAGGGAAGGTACATCAGGGCAGCAGACAAAATGAGTCCAAGTGATAGAAAAAAAGAAATGACAGACACGGGGATGGGCAATGATTAGAGATGGTTGGTTAACAAGGGGCAGACACGGGATGAGCAGGAACAAGGGTCAGCAACAAAGCCAAGGTGAGGAACAAAGGAACAGAGAAAGACACAGATAATATGGAAGACATGGAAACGATGAAAAGCATCAGAGATGAGGCATAATGAAGACAAGGTGGAGGGCAAAGAGAACGGGGTGAGTGAGAACACACACAAAGGGACAATTAAGATTAAGGACAAGGGGGAGAAAAAAATAAAATCAAGGATGGAAGACAGAGGAGGATAAGCAGGAAGAAACATGAAGAACAGACAAGGTGTAGGACAGAAGAAGATCCAGGACAAGCAGGAAGAAACATGGAGAACAGACAAGGTGTAGGACAGAAGAAGATCCAGGACAAGCAGGAAGAAACATGAAGAACAGACAAGATGGAGGACAGAAGAAGATTAAGAATGAGCAAGAAGAATCATAAAGAGCAGACAAGATGCAGGACAGAAGAAGATTAAGAATGAGCAAGAAGAATCATAAAGAGCAGACAAGATGCAGGACAGAAGAAGATTAAGAATGAGCAAGAAGAATCATAAAGAGCAGACAAGATGCAGGACAGAAGAAGATCAGGGACAAGCAGGAAGAAACATGAAGAACAGACAAGGTGCAGGACAGATGTAGATCCAGGATTAGGAACAAGGTTGAAAACAAACAAGATCAAGATTTGGAAGACAGAGAGGAGATACAGAACCATCAGGGATGAGGGTGAAGAATAAACAGGATCAAAGAGAAGCAGGGATAACAGATAAAACCAGGCAGGGAGACCCAGTAGGAGCAAGAACAAAGTGGAAAAACAAACAAGATCGAGGTTTGGAAGACACAGAGGAGATACAGAACCATAGGGACAAGAGTAAAGAATGAAGAGGATTTAGGATAAGCATGAATATTAGACAAGGTAGAAGACAAGTGGAAGACAAAGGATAAGCAGAAAAAGGAAGAATAACCCAGAAAGAGGGCATAAGGTAAACCAAGGGTTAGCAGGAATAAGGGTGAAGAACAGACAGGATGCAGTGATGGATAACAGGAGATGAAGGTCCAGAACAGATCAGATGTAGTGATGTAAGACAAGAGATAAGTGTAAAGTACAGACATGATGGAGGACAAGTGATGAGGGTAAAGAACAGACAAGATAGAGGGCAAGGGATAAGGGGGACGTAGAGACAAGATGGAGGAGTGGAAACAAGGGATGAGTGTTAAGCACAGACAAGATGAAGGATGAGGGGAAAACCAGCAATAAATGTAAAAACCAAGATGGCGGACAAGGGGTGTGGTATATACAGTAGACACAAGGATGGGATTGTAGCACAGCAGGGAAGCAATGGGGGAGAGAAGCAAGAAAAAAAAGAAGAGGTTAGTATAGTCAACCATGTGTATACAGCGCAGATAACAAGCAGCACATATATATATATATGTATAAATACACAGACACACAAGAGGACAATAACTCACGAATAATTATGAGGAGGATGATGGCGCATATCACTCCCATAATGATCATCATCTGAGGAGAAAACAAAACACAAAGAGTGATTTGGAGAAGACAGAGATGGCTTAAAGCTGTGCTACATAAAGCCACAATAGCAGAATACAGCCAATTATAAACAATTCTGACCAATGGTGGACTGACACAACATGGCATCACTTATTGAGGATTGTTTGATTTCAAACAACTTTAAGATTTGTACGCAGAAGTTTTCCAGCGTTTTTCTGTCTGGTCTATAGCTAAAAAGTGGATTTTTTCCCAAATAGCAGATACAGTATACAAACAAATCCACAAAGGAAGAACAGCGAGTTCAGATACAATAGAATGTTTCAACAAGGTAAGTTGTGAATGTGAACCAAGTATGTTGCGCTTGGTATTAAATGTTATTCGTGTCCTCCTATATCTCGTAAATGTTTTTTAACTTGTAAATGTTTTTTTAACAATAATTTATTTATAAATAAAAAATGTATTAAAGGTGGTGATACTCGTGTCGTGATTCTTATTACTTGAAAATGAGTGAAAAATAGATTAATAAATTAATTAATTAAGGGACAATAAACGTAAACTATCTGTTGTTGAGTGAATCTTTATATCAATAATCCATGATTATTTATGATGTATGTGAAAATTAAAAACAATGAAATTAACCTGTCTTTTATTTAGTGATTAGTTTTATCAATATTCAGTGATTGTATTTATGATGTAAAGTTCTTGAAACTATGTGGTGAGGTCTAATGTGCCTCCCTCCTCCACCAAAATTATTGTGTAATAGTAAGTAATTCGATGTGGCTGTGATCGTATTATCAGTGCATATAAAAATAAAAAAAAGGGATTGTTAACAGTTAAATAAACCACATAAATTCCAAATAGAATGCAATATTAGGACATTTTCAATCATTGTGGTAAGACCACTATATATCGGCCTCAGTCACCAGTTATCAATGTCCTTATATAGAACGAAAATGAGGATAAGCAAAGTTTCAACCGAAGAAAATAGTAAATCAAATTTCTATTACTTTTGTTCCGTCACTGAGTACGCAGAACCTCTATTGTCATCTCTCTCCTCTGATCAGCCAGCACTCGTCCTCGATGGCGGCGCCAAAAACCCTCCAGGTGTAATTAGGGGCAACGCCGGGCTGTCCAGCAGAGGAAGAAAAAGGGGGAACCACAAGAGAGAAACAGATCTATGTGCAACAGCAAGGTCCTTTATTATAAGTAAAAAGTGATCGCACTTACAAGATTTGAATAGTAAAACAGCATTTGAGTGTAAAGGACACCCAGCCTGGTTGATCTTTTCCGGTATATCAAAGAGGAAACAGTGGATACCCTTAACGCGTTTCGTCGCCTGTAGACTTTGAAAAAAGTAATTTTTTTAATTAATGTTAATTTGCTTGTTTTTTAATTTGCTGTTGCACTTAGATCTGTTTCTCTCTTGTGGTTCCCCCTTTTTCTTCCTCTGCTGGACAGCCCGGCGTTGCCCCTAATTACACCTGGAGGGTGTTTGGCGCCGCCAACGAGGACGAGTGCTGGCTGATCGGAGGAGAGAGGAGAGAGATGACAATAGAGGTTCCGCGTACTCAGTGACGGAACAAAAGTAATAGAAATTTGATTTACTATTTTTTTCGATTGAAAGGACTTTGCTTATCCTCATTTTCGTTCTATATAAGGACATTGATAACTGGTGACTGAGGCCGATATATAGTGGTCTTACCACAATGATTGAAAATGTCCTAATATTGCATTCTATTTGGAATTTATAGAACGTTTTTACCCACTATTGGTTATTTTCACTTCCAGAACTTGGTTTTGAATAGTTGATCAATCATTTGTACAGTATCGATTTATGTGGTTTATTTAACTGTTAAAAATCCCTTTTTTTTATTTATATATGCACTGATAATACGATCACAGCCACATCGAATTACACAATAATTTTGGTGGAGGAGGGAGGCACATTAGACCTCACCACATAGTTTCAAGAACTTTACATCATAAATACAATCACTGAATATTGATAAAACTAATCACTCAATAAAAGACAGGTTAATTTCATTGTTTTTTATTTTCACATACATCATAAATAATCACGGATTATTGATATAAAGATTCACTCAACAACAGATAGTTTAAGTTTATTGTCCCTTAAATAATTAATGTATTTATCTATTTTTCACTCATTTTCAAGTAATAAGAATCACGACGCGAGTATCACCACCTTTAATAATGTTTTTATTTATAAATAAATTATTGTTAAAAAAAACATTTACGAGTTAAAAAACATTTACGAGTTAAAAAACATTTACGAGATATAGGAGGACACGATTAACATTTAATACCAAGCGCAACATACTTGGCTCACATTGATCACGTTTGTACACATTGTTGCAGCTGGTGACTTAAACATTATTTATCCTAGCGCAACGAAACTGGTTAAAACAAGGTAAGTTGGTATGTAATTATGTACTACACTAGAAGAAAAAATAGGTGAAACAAGAACACACAAGATGGAGGGCAAATACTTATCTAAGGCTAGCAGAAAGAAGCAGAAAGAACAGACAAGATGGAGAACAGAAAAGACCAGGATGAGCTGAAACAAATATGGAGGACAGAAGAAGACCTGGGGTGAGCATAAATAAACATGACATGATGAAGGACAGGAGACCCATAATGAGCTAAAACAATTATGAAGAACAGACAAGGTGGAGGACAGAAGAAGACCCGGGATGATCATCAACAAACATGAACAACTGACATGATGGAGGACAGAAGAAGACCCAGGATGAGCATAAATAAACATGAAGAACAGACATGATGGAGGACAGAAGAAGACCTGGGATGAGCATAAACAAACATGACATGATGGAGGACAGAAGGCCCACAATGAGCTAAAACAATTATGAAGAACAGACAAGGTGGAGGTCAGAAGAAGACCCAGCATGAGCATAGACAAACATGAAGAACAGACATCAAGGAGGACAGAAGAAGACCCGGGATGAGCATAGACAGACATCAAGAACTGACATGATGGAGGACAGAGAAGACCCGGGATGAGCATAGACAGACATCAAGAACTGACATGATGGATGACAGAAGAACACCTGAGATAAGCTGAAACAAATATGAAGAACAGACAACGAGGAGGACAGAAGGAGACCCAAGATGAGCATAGACAGACATGAAAATGACAGGAGAAGCAGGAACAAGGTTGACAGAAAAACAAGATTGAGGTTTGAAAGACAAAGGGGAGATAAATGACCATCAGGGATTTGGGTAAAAAATAAACAGGATCAAAGTAAATTGTGAAAAAGAGACATGGTGAAAAGCAGAAGACCCGGGGGGAAAAAAAGGAATAACAAATCAGAGGGAGAACTGTTCTATGTTATCTATTACTTTTTTGGTGGCCCTGCTTATCCCTCTATTACTTTTATACATATAGGCACACCATCTTCCCAATGCCTTGGTAAGACTCACACAATAGGGTATCACTCTTCCAATGTGGCCACATATCTGTCGGCTCCACACCTCCTCTCTGTCACCCTTCACTGCTCATCTTTTTTTGTCCTAAACATGCTCCAGCTCTTGGGCTGATGCTTATTAATGATGCAATTGTTGTAAAAGACCCACATTTGGGGATGCAAACCACGTTTGTATTTTTTCGGGGAGGAGTTTATATACTCTGTTAAAGACCCCTTACAAACAAGGCAAACCAAATATATCTCCACTCAGGGCTGGCTTTTGGGGTGTTGCAAAGGGCACCATGGCAACAGGGGCACCAGGCGGCCGGCACTGCTTGCTATGACACAAGTTGCAGGTGCAATTAACCAATCTCTCTTATAGGGATATCTTCCATGCAGTCCCCCGCTGAGATCTTTCTTTCCTCCTGTCTATGAATTGATCTCATGTATGGAATCTTACAGTCACCATACACTTTCCTGTGTCCCTGGTTACCCCTCCACTTCCCCTTTTACCATTTGACATCACCAGCCCTCCCCCAGGCAGACCAGCCAATCCCTGATGTCTTCTCCACCTATACCAGCGTTGGTGCTTGATTGGTTGACCTGGATGAGTGTTGTGTCTCTTAAGCTGACACGGCGGAGTGTTCTTAGACATGGGGTTGTCTCTGAGCTCTGAGGCCGCCGATGGTGGCAACAAGGGATACCATGTCCATGAGGTAAAAGGGCCTCGGGTGAGGGGGGTGTATGGAGGACAGTCAATGAGGTGAAGGGTGCAGAGAGGACAGTCAATGAAGTGAGGGGGTTGCAGGGAGGACAGTAAATCAAGTGAGGGGGTTGCATGGAGGACAGTAAATGAGGTGAGCGGGGTGCAGGGTGAACAGTACATGAGGTGAGGGGGGTGCCTGGAGGACAGTAAATGAGGTGAGGGGGGTGCATAGAGGACAGTAAATGAGGTGAGGACTGTAGAGGGTGGACAGTGCATGAGGTGAGGGAGTGTAGAGGGTGGACAGTGAATTAGGTGAGGGGGGTGCATGGAGGACAGTAAATGAGGTGAGGGCTGTAGAGGGAGGACAGTACATGAGGTGAGGGGGTGTAGAGGGTGGACAGTGAATGAGGTGAGGGGGTTGCATAGAGGACAGTAAATGAGGTGAGGGGGGTGCATAGAGGACAGTAAATGAGGTGAGGGGGGTGCATAGAGGACAGTAAATGAGGTGAGGGGGGTGCATAGAGGACAGTAAATGAGGTGAGGGGGGTGCATAGAGGACAGTAAATGAGGTGAGGGGGGTGCATAGAGGACAGTAAATGAGGTGAGGGGGGTGCATAGAGGACAGTAAATGAGGTGAGGGGGGTGCATAGAGGACAGTAAATGAGGTGAGGGGGGTGCATAGAGGACAGTAAATGAGGTGAGGGGGGTGCATAGAGGACAGTAAATGAGGTGAGGGGGGTGCATAGAGGACAGTAAATGAGGTGAGGGGGGTGCATAGAGGACAGTAAATGAGGTGAGGGGGGTGCATAGAGGACAGTAAATGAGGTGAGGGGGGTGCATAGAGGACAGTAAATGAGGTGAGGGGGGTGCATAGAGGACAGTAAATGAGGTGAGGGGGGTGCATAGAGGACAGTAAATGAGGTGAGGGGGGTGCATAGAGGACAGTAAATGAGGTGAGGGGGGTGCATAGAGGACAGTAAATGAGGTGAGGGGGGTGCATAGAGGACAGTAAATGAGGTGAGGGGGGTGCATAGAGGACAGTAAATGAGGTGAGGGGGGTGCATAGAGGACAGTAAATGAGGTGAGGGGGGTGCATAGAGGACAGTAAATGAGGTGAGGGGGGTGCATAGAGGACAGTAAATGAGGTGAGGGGGGTGCATAGAGGACAGTAAATGAGGTGAGGACTGTAGAGGGTGGACAGTGCATGAGGTGAGGGAGTGTAGAGGGTGGACAGTGAATGAGGTGAGGGGGTTGCATGGAGGACAGTAAATGAGGTGAGGGCTGTAGAGGGAGGACAGTACATGAGGTGAGGGGTGTAGAGGGTGGACAGTACATGAGGTGAGGGGGTGTAGACGGAGGACAGTACATGAGCTGAGGGGTGTAGAGGGTGGACAGTACATGAGGTGAGGGGTGTAGAGTGTGGACAGTACATGAGGTGAGGGGGGGAGGGGGGAGGCAAGACCATACATAAGGTGAGGGGTGTAGAGGGTGGACAGTACCTAAGGTGAGGGGTGTAGAGGGAGGACAGTACCTAAGGTGAGGGGTGTAGAGGGTGGACAGTACATGAGGTGAGGGGTGTAGAGGGTGGAAAGTAAATGAGGTGAGGGGGAATTGAATGAGGGAGTTGCAGGGAGGACAGACAGGCGGTCTGGGGGGACTACAAGGCTCACCCAAGTTCTATCCAACTTTGCGAGTGGGGTGGAATGTGAGATCGCAGTCTCAAAGTCGGATAGAAGTGACATTTCAGGACTGATCAGCTGTTCCAGGGCAGATCGGTTCTCCTGCGCATACGATCTGCGATGCCGATCTGCCCTGGAACAGCTGACAAAGCGTTGGAATGCTTCACCTGATGGGTGGTCACACATTCCACCGCCGAAAAACTGGGCAGGATTACGTTAAAATGCGTGACCACGTGACCGGTCACACATTCCAACCCAGTCACAATCTTTGATAGAACATGGGAACATCCGGGAGAGTTGAGATGTCTGGAAATAGGTGTGGCCACTGAGGGGTGTGGTTACTGAGGGGTGTGGCCACTGGGGGGCCCTGTAAAGCTTTCTCGCACAGGGCGCCTAAAGGCCTACGGCCAGCCCTGATCCCGCTCCTAACAATTTAAATGGCAAGTGGGCAGTTGGGGTGTGGCCAGGGCTGGATTTCCCACAAGGCCAACCAAGGCCCGGCCTTGGGGCAGCAAGGAGTAGAGGGGCAACAGGGGTGTGGAATTCCTATTTCCCAATGCCTGGGGCATGCAGTTACGGGTGTCAGGCGCATAGTTGTTTTCTACATTTAGCCGTGCTTTGGGCAAGCAGGGCTAAATGTGCAGCTGGGAAGACGCTGCTTGTTTTGTACAAGTGATCCCGGCGATGTTGGCGATAGGGGGGCGCATTGAGGAACCTGGGACAGCAGAGAGAGTAAATCCGGCCCTGGGTGTGGCCCCTAGCTGTTTCCCCTTCCTTCTTTCCTACAGCTTCTTTTGTGGCATTAATGGTGTACAGAAGGCATTAAGGCTGGAAACGGGCTCCCTGGACACCAGACCCTGCTTAGGTGGTCCAGCTCTCTTTGTAACAGCCCATCCCGGGATGTTTCCATGCCAACTACTGCATAATGAGGGGAAGAAAAATGAAAAGTGCAACAGGAAGAGGAGGTGTGCTTCATAGTGGCTGTGGCCGGCGTCCAGGCCCATTGTATTGTCCTTCTTTGGGTAATGGCATCCTATTAAGGAGTAAGGCTTGTTACTTGTAGACAACCAGCAAATCTCACCTTCATGTTCTGGCACCAGTACTTGTTTTTAAGTTTGGCCGCACTGGTTTCAAACTGAGAGGCTCCGGCCCGTAGAGCGTCTGCGCGGTCATCTAGTTCGGACAGCTTCTGATCTCGTTCCAACACCTTGTCTACATTATCGCGCAGAATATCTACAACCTGTGGGGGAGGAGGAAGAGATGCTGAAGATACACAAGCTTATTGGTTACAATGGCTTTACATCTTGTATTGCTCTCTACTCACCTGATCCACCTGTACTTGGGTTTGCTGAAGTCTTCTGTTGCTGGAAAGGTTGGGGGGACCTTGGGGTGCTCCTCCTTCCCCAGTGGCATCGGGAGGGCCGGCAGCTGGGGCAGACCTAAAAAAAAAAAATATGGCGCTGGTCAGAATCTGCAGGGGCCACCTTCTTGGACTCTAGGCTAAACCACCAATGCCCACTGCACTTGTCTGGGACGAATAGGTCAGGGAAATGCCACGGTTTTCATACAAGCTGTAGCTCTGGTGAGCAAGGCCATAGACAGCTGTCAATAGGAAAGGTGCCCCCAACTGAAGATTTCCCCTCACCTCCTGTTTTAGTGACAACTGTGAATGTTTAGATTTGCCATCACTTTCTGTCTCGTTGACAATGGTCACCAGAATAAGTAGGGTGAACCTCACCAGCAGAGATACAAAACTAATAAAGCTTCAGCTTCCATCTCAGTACGGTGTCCTAGATGAATCCCCTACTGAGTCGGATCAGAACGGAGACGGTTGTCAGATTTGTGACATCCGTGCCCATTGCAATTTTTCCTCCAATTTGGGATGGAGGAGAAACAGACGCATGTAATCACTATTGGTGGCCGGATGTAAGTAGACGTGCTTCCACCAACGTCTGGTCAGATCAACCAACGTCTGCGTTCGGTCTGGAGAACCGAAACTGTCCTGGAAGTGGGCTGGTATAGGCAGATGTAGGTCTGTTTACATCCAGCCACCCATAGGATTTATCAGTCTTTGAGTGTGGGATGATTGTTGGCGCTCGGAGCCATGGAGCGAGTATCAGCAAAACAGCAGAATTCGTTAAATGTTCAAGAGGGGCTCATTGTTAAAGTGTTTAAAGACTGGAAAGTCAGGGGAAAATCTGGGTCTGAACGTGCGAATTGTGGCCGTCAGCGACTAGTCAATGTTAGGGCAGAACGGAGAGTGGCAAGACTGGTACAAGACAACAGAAGGGCACCAGGCGCAGTGTCAGATTCCTCGCATCACCTTTCACCATCTCGTGGAGTCATCTCGTGGCCCAACGAAGTACTGATGGGGTGGTCATAATAATCTGGCCACTCAGTGTATATACACACACACACACAATGATGCCACCTAGAGGTCACCTAGAGTCCTACAATGAGCATTGAAAACAACAATTCTAACCAAAATAGGCAACAACAGAAAATGCCATAGAGCCAATAAACTAGAGTTTGAGTCAGTCAGTATAGATCACCTTCACAGCCTATTTACATATTTGTGGTGTGTTTAATACACTTTAACATGTCTTGTGCTGCCCATTAAGCGGGGTTGGGTTATGACAACTCATTCACTTGCATGGGATGCCTACTATAATACACCAAAAAAAGGTGCAGGTAGAAATTTCGGCAGCACACTGCACCTTAGGGCTTTGTGCTGCACTGCCACGCATGGCCATCAGCAAAGTACGCTGGAGGGCCATTTAGGATGACACCACAGTGCACAAGCGCGTGTTACCGCAGGGTGGCATTTGTGGGCCGTGTGATTGTGGCAGTCGGGTTTCTGGTAACAGTTAAAACCCAATATAAGGTGCGGGAATAACACCAGGATTAGCTATACATAGGAGCTCCATCCATATATTAATCAGGATATTCCGGCTATAATTAAACACGGAGATACATCGGCGCTGTAATCCGCCAGGTTTAATTAGACGGCGCACATGGAGGGCCCGGCGCAATGTGTCAGGAGCATGCTCTGCAGAGATCCAGGCATGCGGAGTATCTTACGACCTCGCATATGAGGATATCACCAGCTGCCCCCAGCACACAGCGCTAGTATTTGGGTTTATGTACACCAGGCAGATAAAATACAGTGTATCTGTGCAATCCATTAATATTTCCCCCTACAGTATATAGATCCTGCAAGTACAAGAGACATACCTGATAATCTGCCAGAAATGCACTCGGGTCCTAATTTCATTTTGTGGGCTGACAACACACAGCAGTGGTGTCAGCCCTGCCCTGCTAAACAACTCAACCACTCTTAGTCCACTCTCCTCATATCGATAACCTATAGACAAGGGGGCAGGCTATCTCGGCACTCCAGCTGTGCTGAAACCACAGATCCCAGCATGCCGCTACCTCTGGGAGTCCTGCCTGGTGCTGTCAGGGTCTTGCAATTCCTCATGAGACTTGTAGTTCCACAGCAGCTGGATTGCTGATGTTGCTTACCACTGATATAGACTAATCACTGTGTAGATAAGATAAGAACCAGGAGGGCTAATTAGACTCTTAGAGATAACACAAGAAGTGTCAACCTCTCAATGGTATAGTCACACCATCCTCAGTGTGTTCCGGCCTAATTGTGGCCGGAACGCACTGGATCGCATTGCGGCCGGCTCCGTTTGTTGTGGGGCGGGAGGGGGCGTGGCAGTTCAATGAAGTGAATGGCACCGTAGCCACGCCCTCCGTCCGTAATGCGATCGGCCGCACGGGAACGCAAGAGACATCAATGCCTGCGGTCCGGTCCAAAAAAATGCTGCAAGCATTGCGGCCAGAGGGAGTGGCTACAATGCCATTCACTTCAAAAGACCACCGCGCCCCCTCCTGCCCCAGAACAAACTGAGCCGGCCGCAATGCGACGGAAATTGTCCACTGAGAGCAAACAAATGCTCACAAATATAGTAAGGCATGTAAACTGTCCTGAGGCTGGAGATCTTTATGTGTCTCTGAGGAAAAAGATGCCCCATAGAGGTCTATGCATCCTTAGGCCAAAGGCGATGAGAGACGTCCCATTGAAATCTATGTGTCCTTAGGCCAGAGACAACTATAGAGGTCTATGTGTCCTCAGGAAGGAGATGATGAGAGAAGGTCCCATTACGCACTATGTGTCCTGAGGCTTGAGACGATCCCATAGAAATCAATGTATCCTGAGGCCTGAGATGACCAGAGACGATCCCATAGAAATCAATGTATCCTGAGGCCTGAGATGACCAGAGATGATCCCATAGAAATCAATGAATCCTGAGGCCTGAGATGACCAGAGATGATCCCATAGAAATCAATGAATCCTGAGGCCTGAGATGATCAGAGGACAGTCCCATAGATGTCTATGTGTGCTGAGGCTGGAGTTGACCTGAGACAGTACCATAGAAGTGTACACTATATTGCCAAAAGTATTAGGTCACCCCCCAAAATCATTGGATTCAGGTGTTCTGTGAAAACTTCCTGGCTACTTAATATTCCGCGGTCACCTGTTAGTGGTATTATAACAGAGTGGAAGCAACTAGGAACAACAGCAACTCAGCCACGAAGTGGTCGGCCACATAAAATGACAGAGCGGGGTCAGCGCATGCTGAAGCGCACAATGCGCAGAAGTTGCCAACTGTCTGCAGAGTCAAAAGCTACAGACCTCCAAACTTCATGTGGCCTTCAGATTGGCACAACAACAGTGCGTAGAGAGCTTCATGGAATGGTTTTCCATGGCCGATCAGCTTCATCCAAGCCTTACATCACCAAGTGCAATGCAAAGCGCGGGATGCCGTGGTGTAAAGCGCGCCGCCACTGGACTCTAGAGAGGTGGAGACGTGTTCTCTGGAGAGACCAATCACGCTTCTCTGTCTGGCAATCCGATGGACGTGTCTGGGGGGGATTATGGTGCGGGGTTGTTTTTCAGGGGTTGGGCTTGGCCCCTTAGTTCCAATGAAGGGAACTCTTAAGGCATCAGCACACCAAGACATTTTGGACAATTTCATGCTGCCAAGTTTGTGGGAACAGTTTGGGGATGGCCCCTTCCTGTTCCAACGTGACTGCGCACCAGTGCACAAAGCAAGGTCCATAAAGAACATGACTGGCCTGCACAGAGTCCTGACCTCAACCCGATAGAACACCTTTGGGATGAATTAGAGCGGAGACTGCGAGCCCGGCCTTCTCCTCCAACATCAGTACCTGACCTCACAAATGGTCCAACATTCCCATAGACACACTCCTAAACCTTGTGGACGCCTTCCCAGAAGAGCTGAAGCTGTTATAGCGGCAAAGGGCGGAGCCAACCCAGTATTGAACCCTACAGACTAAGACTGGGATGACATTAAAGTTCATGTGTGTGTAAAGGCGTCCCAATACTTTTGGTAATATAGTGTATGTGTCCTGAAGCCAGAGACCACCAGAGACGGTCTCATAGAGGTCTATGTGTCCTGAGGCTGGAGACGACCTGAGACAGTACCATAGATGGATGGGAGGGCTTCTAATCATGTGACTGCTGTGACAGCTAATCACCACCATCACACGATCGGGAAGCCCATCTCCGCCGACCATTGTTCAGAACCCCGTAGAGGGCCTATGGGAGCCGGCACCAAAGGGTTAAAATCGGTATTTTAAAACGCAGGCAGTGAAGAGTTAAAGTACATCACAAGTAGAATCTCCCCGAGTGAAATTTTCGTGTAGCACAACGTACGCAGATGTGCGAGATCACATCCTGACTGCGAAGTGTCGACTGTCTTCACACCTCTCTCTGACTGACAAGGCGCTTCTCCTTCATTCTCTTCCTCGGGAGGAGATTTCACTGTCAGCGCTCCCATCAGAGACGAGTCAACTGACAGATTTTGTTATATTTAAAGTATATATAACCCCCAACAATGAAACCCCTCATTGAATGTGTTTTGTTATATCTGTTCAATAAGTACAAAAAATACCTGTTGATCCTGCCAGAGATCCATGCAGTAAGGCCCATGTGTGTGTAATGAGGCCCAAGGGTGTTGCACGTCATATGAAGGCAGTATAGCCAGGGGCATATCTGGCGGGAGGCAAACAAGGTGTTTGCCATGGGTGGCACTTTCCAGGGGGGCGGCAAAAATGCAGCATCCAAAAACAGTCAGGCAAGCCGGGCTGCACAGAATTCGGCAGCATTGGCGGCCTAATCGAGGAGAAGGAGGTGGAGGCGATGTGGAGGGCGAGGCGAGGAGGAGGAGCAGCAGGTCCAGATTCCCGCAGCTCCGGTCAGGCGACAGAGGAAGGTGGCCCTGAATCGCCAGTCCGGCGCGGAGGAGGCCGGGACCCGGAAGTGCCAGTCAGGCGGCGGAGAAGGCCGGGTGTCCGCAGCACCAGTGGTCCGGCGATGAGGGAGGCCAGATCCAGCAGCGGGCGG